TATTAAAATTTTAAAATTTCTAGTCATTAAAAGATAAAATTTAAAGTGAAAATGCATGCTAAAGACTGAAAGAAGATATTTTTAATGCCTACAAGGTATTATAAAGAATACATTTAAAAAAGATGCAAATAAAAACTACAACGAGGTACTACTTCATACTCCTCCTAATGGCAAAAATTAATAAAATATTACTATTATCTACCTTCTAAAATATCTGGAATGCAGACAAACAGACCTTCTCTCATACATTATGGACTTTATAGAGAAAACTGATAGTTATCAAATAAAGTTGAAGATGTTCCACTCTTCTTGCATAAAGTGCTGCTCAGATGGGGCACAGTGGTTCACACCTGTAATCCCTGCACTCTGAGGGGCACAAGTGAGCAGATCACTTGAGCTCAGGAGTTCAAGACCAGCCTGGCCAACATGGTGAAATCCCCTCTACAAAAAAATAAAAATAAAAACTAGCTGGATGTGGAGGCTTCAGTGAGCAGGATCATGCCACTACACTACAGCCTGGGCAACAGAGTGAGAATAGGTCTAAATAAATAAATAATGCTGCTTCGTGCCCTATGACTTGAATATTCTGCTGGACATTCATAGAGGGGAACAGAAAGAGGGAAAAAAACCACTAATGTCAGATACTTCTAAACAGGATTTAACATCAAGTTTATTTGTGTAGTTTTAACATAGATGAAGACTTGTTATGAATGCAACCATTGTGTAAACAGGTAAGATTGCAACTTTTATATCTGTTTCAACTTTATTGAGAATAGTTTATTTCAGAAAATCATTTCCCACAAACAGTCTCAGCATTGGTACTTGAATAGCTAACTCAATATACCTGTTTTAATCTGTAGCTGTTGTATTGAGGGACTCACCACCCACTGGTACAAAGTGTCTAATTACCACTACTTCTTTCAGCAGTGCTTCTTATATTTTAATGCCTATATACAGCAGTTGGAATCTTGATAAAATACAGCATCTGGCTGGGTACACTGGCTCATGTCTGTAATCCCAATGTCCTAGTGATTTGGGATACTGAAGAGGGAGGATCACTTGCAGCCAGGAGTTCAAGATCAGCCTGGGCAATATAGGAAGATCCTGTCTCCATAAAAAAAAAATTTATAAATTAGCCAGGCATGATGGTGCATACCTGTAGTCCCAGACACTCAGGAGGCTAAGGTGGGAGGATCCCTTGAACCCAGGAGTTTCAGGTTACAGGGCTGTATGGCTCCAGAGATCCTATCTCTTACACTGTAAACAAAACAAACAAACAAAAACAGAAACAAAAAACCCTGCATCTGTATCAGTAGGATAAAGCCCAAGGCTCTACACTTCCAACAAGCTCATAAGTGATTTTAATGTGGCTGGCCCACCATTACACTTGGTAGCTAACCTTGAACACAGTCTTGAGCTCAAGCATTTACAACATGAAACACATATCACTTTATTACAAATGAGTTTTATATTTTATTAAGGGCATTGCTTTCTTTAAAATATGAATATGGATTTATTATTATGAAGTTCATTTCAGGGTAGTTTTGTAGGAATTGTAAAATATTTTCTATGAACCTGGGATGTAGGTAGATCAAGAACCACTGCCCTGGAAGTTCTACACAACAGGTACCTAACATATACAAAAATATTCCTTACAGTACTGTTTAATAGCAAACAAGTAGAAACAACCAAAATGACCATCAACTGAAACCTGACAGTTACATAACAAACCACATACCACCTAACAGTAAAAGTAAATAAACTAGAGCAACCTAAATAAACATAGATAAATCTTGGCCAACTTGTGTAAAGAAAGCAAGCTAAAGAAAGATATTTGTATTTAAATAGTCTTAAGACAAAAAAACCACAAAACTATATATATATATAATTTTCATGAGATAAAGGTATGTAGTTAAGTACAAACACACGGATATAGAAAAGATGCATGTGAATTCTGGGTCACTGGTTAGATGTGGGGGGAAAAGGGAATAGGATTTAAGAGAGGTACAAGATACCAAGGACATTTCACCTTAATTGGTAGTTTTATTTATTCAACTGGATGATGGGTACAAAGATATTCATTACATTATATGGCACCAACATTTATATTGCTACATTAGTTCTCATTTGACTTGGACAAAACTCTTAGGCATGGACAGGTGTCTGGAAAACACTGCTCCAAAGCAAAGGATACAGGACTAGAAGTTAGAAAACCCAGGTTCAAGCCTCAATTCTACTTGTTACTAATTGCTTAGCTTTAGGCAATTCAAATAATTAACTTATGTGGGTTTTATTTATTTCATCTGTAAAAATGCTACAAATGCTGGGTGCAGTGGCTCCTGCCTGTAATCCCAGCACTTCAGGAGTCTGAGGTAGGCGGATCACCAGAAGTCAAGAGTTCGAGACCAGCCTGGCCAATGTGGTGAAACCTCATCTCTGCTAAAAATACAAAAATTAGAGCAAAAACTTCATCTCAAAAAACAAAACAAAACAAAGCCACAAACTCACTTTCTCTCTCCAACTCACAGGCTGTATTTGACAGGCAAATGGGGCAATATATGTGAGAAATTTTAAACAGGGTAGGAAGGGTAGGAGTAACTTTCAGAATTAATAGCAAAACTTTGGATAAATTAGAAGTAAAATCTACCAGTAAGTAAACCAACCAATAAAATATACTCTATTTTCTTGTCATCACTTTATCTAAAGATCTTAACTCCAATTTTAATATGGAAGAAATTTTAATTCTCTCTTTTTTTTTTTTTTTTGAGACTGAGTTTCTCTCCTGTTACCCAGACTGCAATGCAATGGCGTAATCTTGGCTCACTCCAACCTCTGACTCCCGAGTTCAAGTGTTTCTCCTGCCTCGGCCCCCCAGTAGCTGGGATTACAGGAATGCATCACCATGCCCAGTTAATTTTGTATTTTTAGTTGAGACAGGGTTTCTCCATGTTGGCCAGGCTGGTATCAAACTCCTGACCTCAGGTGATCCACCCATCTCGGCCTCCCAAAGTTGGGATACAGGTGTGAGCCTTAAATGATCGCGTAGGGACAGTCATTCTCCCTATTAAAACTGTTTCTTTATGCTAACTATTCATCAAAGGATTGAAATTCACAGTATCAAAACAAAATAAGAGCAATGCATTATAAAGTATTCTCATGTAACTTAAAGAAATCAGTGTCACATAAACAGATTAACTGTTGCTTATATGGTTCTCACTGCCCTTTTTATAAAGTGAGCAGGTGGCACATTTTATTAGCCCTATATTACAGATGGAGAAACTGACACAGATGTGGATAGCTAGCCTGTGTAGAGTTGTAGACTAATTCAGGGTCAAACTTGGAACAGCCACTAATTGCTTAATTCTTCTGTGTTCATTAATCTACTAAGAAACTTTATTTTGCCATGATGTTTTATGGTGATTTTGTTTGTCCCAGGAAACAAATTTCTTTGTCAGAAGTCATTTCATAAACATTTTAAAATGGGCAAAGATACTCAAGGAAACAAGCTACTCATCAACTAGAGTACTGCACACCAAGGGACAAAATTAAAACTGCCTAGCCTGCTAAAAATCTAATCCTGTCCTTGCCAATTAACCTTATTAATACTAGAGTAGGAGAAAAGAGAGGTCAAAATATAGGTGAAGGTGCCATTCATTTCCTCCTGGATTTCAAATGATATGACAATTACTGCACAACAGAGATATTTACCTCTGTGTTCCTTAAGTAATGACACGACCCCTATTCTCCAAGTAAAAATTTACCAACAAGTTGGGCAGTTTCAAATTAAAATACTAGCAATCATGACAATTTTCAAAATACTGGCTATCATTAATGTCACCTAACTGAAATCCATGCTATAAACATACGTAGAGAAGCTCTTTATGTAAAAATGTTCATTTAAATGTAAATTTCCCTGTCAATCTAAACAGATTAACGTTATTACATGTATATCTGACTTTCTACTCCGACTCATTAGGTAATATGGTCTCATATGTTGGCACAAGAACTCCAAAGATTTATTGGAGGCATAAAAAAAATTCCAATGAATCATCTATGGATCAAGCATCACATATCACAAAAAGTATTAAACAGGAACATCTTTCATAAACAGCGAAATTTAAAGGTCACCCTCTGTATTCCGTTATTCATCCTTTTGCTTACCACATCTACCTCACACTAAAGCACCATTTACAAAAAATTCTCTTCTGGCATTGGCAGAAATCTCACCAAGAATCAAAGATCTAAACTTTTTTTTAAACAAAAAGCCCAGGTTAAGCACATTCTTTCCTTTACCAAAGGCCCCCCAACACAGTACAATCTAATTTGGCATAACTTTGTTTCGGAAGTTAAAAAAAAATCCCAAACCTTTAAATTTTCCACTAAAAAACGATTCCTGACGAGCTTAACTTAGAGTTCGAAAACAGGTAACATTAAGGTCCAACCATCTAAAGAAAAAAAACCCTACGACAGCCCTATCGGAATACACAAATCACCAAGCCCGCTGCAGATTCAATCTAAAATCGCGCCTGACAGAGATAAGGACATTCAGGAGAAAAGCTTTAAGGCAACCGCGAATCTCTCAGTGCGCCAGGAAGGGGAATGGGAACCTGACCCCATCTTTCCATCCACTAGGAGAAAAAGCAAAGGAAATGAAATGGAACCCTTCTCCTCTGCGAGGACCAAAGATCTGCTTAGAGCGTCGGTCGGTCCTCCCTCTCCTGGCCCCCGACTCAGGCCGCTCCACGGACCGCAGGGACTGTCCGTACCGCTCCCCTTCACGGAACCACCAAAGAGTCCTCACAAAAACACAGACCTGAAACGAAGTGGCTTCCCCGCCTTCCCCCTGCGCCGAGAGGGATCCCGGTCGCCAACAACAAAGACGCTTCCCGCTCCCCTCCCCCCGCCGGCCCGGGCTAGTCCCTCCCGCGCTGCGGCTCACGGCCTAGCGCCCCTTCCCCGAGCCCCGCTGCGGCGTCCCCAAGCCCCGAGGCTGCACGCACCTGCACCTGAGCGGCCCGGGCCGAGGCGCCGGGCAGGAGTTGGCAGAGAACCGCAGCCGACGCGCTGTCCTCCACAAGGCAAGACCCGCGCTCCGGACGCTGTCGGACTCTCTCCGCCTGCAGACGGGCCCGGTAGAGGAGTGGGGACCAAGGCTGCAGCCCCCGATGCCGGGACGAAGAAAGACGGTGGCGCCCGATGGGCCCGGCTCGCGTTCCCGGGTTTCGCCTCCCGCCGGCCCTGTTCCTCCACACGAGCTCGCGTTCTGCTGACTAACAGCCCCGGTGCAGGGCGCTGGAGCTGCCGCGGCTGCCGTCGGCTGCTCTCGGGCCTCACGTCCCGCGCGGCCGTGGTCGCAGCTGCCGCCGCCGCCGCCTCTCTTTCTGGCACCGCAGACACCACCCAGACCCGGCCAGGTCTTTTTTCTCTTTAAACCTGCTTTCTTTGCTCCTCCTCAGCCTGCCAGGCGCGGGGCTCGTTCCGATAGCGGGAGGGAGAGTAGAGGGGAACCGAGGGCACTAGCACAATCCTCCCTGAGCCAGGAGTTGGCCACTGACTGGAAGAAGGTGCCAAAGCTGACCCCGGCTCCAGCCAGCGAGCGGGCGGGGGGAGGGACAGAGCCTAGCCTCGCCGCACTTCCACCAATCACAGGTCGCCCAGAACAGTCAGAGGCGCTCTGGGCTCCAGGAGAGGCTGAGCTCACTCGGCAGGAGGCGGGGATTGCGGAAAAGCAGAACCAATAAGAGCAAACATTCCCCGCCCCTTTGCCTTGATGGACTACCACATTCGGGCCAATGGGGGAATTCTCATTTCGAAGAAAGCGGGACTTGTTCCCCGGGTTTGAGAAAGAGGCCGCGCGCAGCGGGAGGGGTCAAGGCTGCGCCTCGTGGAGTGGCCTGGCCTAACAGCCGGGAGGGCCTCGTGACGCTCTTTGACCTCCCAGAAGAGTCACGTGGGCTGACCGCGAGAAGGGGCGGAAAGGCACCCTAAGTTTCTTCCGGGTCATTGACAGAAGCGTCCATTCTGGAAGTAATTCGTTGGCTTTTCCCTTCATCCTTTTGCCTGCTCCCGGCGAAGTGTGGTTTTGGTTTCGGCGATGAGCTCCCAGAAAGGCAACGTGGTTCGTTCCAGGCCCCAGAAGCACCAGAATACGTTTAGCTTCAAAAATGACAAGTTCGATAAGAGTGTGCAGACCAAGGTAGGAACCTCCCTGTTGCACCGTCTCTGACTCCAGGAAGGAATGGTTCACTGGAGAGGGGAGAGAGGATATGGGAGGAGTCGGCTAGGGCGAGTGTGGACCGCAGCCTAGAGTTTAGTCTTGGCTGTGGTGCAACTCTTTCAAAAATGTTATTCTCACGCCCTTTATTTGACCTGGACATGTTGTCTGGTAAATATTTGATGGTCAGCACACTTAACTAATTGCACAGAGTGAGCAGGACCGTAATCAAACCTGAGGTGCAAATGGGACACTTACGTCGTTCATCGTTCCCATCTGGATCACATTAGCAGAGGGAAAGGAGGATTGTGGCATGAGTGTCTCTTTCAAATTTTACAAGTTTATGAAGACACTTTTCTTCCTTCCTACAAACCCCAAGCCCACAGGTTTGTAGGGGAAATGTGAATGATTAAGCGGTCTTAGGCTGTACTCACCAGTATAGTGGGAAATTTCTGTTTTGTAACAGTTGTTTTGAAGATAAAAATATTTGGTTAATGTAAAAATACTTGTTTTGCTGTTTAGCAGGACTTCTGTAAACTGGAAAAAATTCACACTGTCTAGATAGGCAGAGGACTTGGGTTGTATATAACTACTAATTGGCAGGCCGGGCGCTGTGGCTCAAAGTGCTGTAATCTCAGCACTTTGGGAGGCTGAGGCTGGTGGATCACCTGAGTTCAAGACCAACCTGGCCAACATGGCGAAACCCTGTCTCTACTAAAAATACAAAAATTAGCCGGGTGTGGTGGCGGGCACCTGAAATCCCAGCACTTTGGGAGGCCGAGGTGGGCAGATCACCCGAAGTCAGGAGTTTCGGAACAACCTGGCCAACATGGCAAAACCCCGAACCTACGAAAAATAGAAAAATTAGCTGGGGGTGGTGGCTGGCGCCTGTAATCTCAGCTACTCAGGAGGCTAAGGCAGGAGAATCGCTTGAACCCGGGAGGCAGAGGTTGCAGTGAACCGAGATTGCTTCACTGCGCTACTGGGCAACAGAACGAGACTCCGTCTCAAAAAAAAAAAACTACTAATTTACTGTTTGCTGTGAATCTCTCTCCCTATTCCCATAGCTGTATAGAGAGGAAATCATTGACGACAAGGGCATATTAAGGGCCAGCATCACTCAGATAAACCTAATATTCACATAAGTTATGGAGCTCAAATTTACTAGGTGTGCGGCTTAAGAGAGTTATGTAATATTTAATTTTCCTGAGCCTTACTTTGGTCTCAAATGACAAAGTTGTCAGGATTGTTGTGAAGCTAAACTATATAATATGCGTAAAGGGCCTGGGTCATAATAAGTGTTCAGTAAGTGATTAATTTCCCAACATTGATTAAGGAAGCAAAGTAATCTGTTTTTGGTAACCTGTGGTCTTTCTTTTCCTTTCCAATTTCTGTCTTTGCTTATTCTATAAATATTTAACAAGCACCTTCGATGTGTGTTCATAGGTATACTGTGTTCAAAAGAGTTGACTCTGCCTTCACGGAGTTTGTAGTTTCTAGATGATATGGGCAAAGAGTAAGCAGAACGATAAATAAATACAAATTATGATAAATGTTGGTGAAAGGCAACACAGATCAGTAAGGGAGAAAAAGGAATAATATTTTGAATTGAATGCTCTCCTTTCCCCCACTTAGGTTGAGAGGTTTATCAGAATGAAAACCCCAAGCAAAACGTGGGAGGACTTTCCCACGTTTTCTCCTATTACCAATAAGTAAACCAGAATAAAAATTAAAAGCTGCACTATTCCAAATACATGCCTGTGTCTTGTGTATTCTTACCCTAAGGCTGTGTACAAACGTTTGATTTTGATTGTTTTTCATTACTGTTTTCCTAAAAAGCAGTTTTAATAAGTAACTACAATGTAGCTATCCCTAGGCTTCTCCTACTTGTACTTTTTGTTGTGTATTTTCTTGGTGTTCTCTAATAATCTTGTCACTCTGGTCTTAAGTGTTTTCATGTGTCTCAGGTTCAGTCATTAAGTTTCATTTGATCATTTTTATATTTTTATCTTCAATTCCTTTCCCTCTTTTAAGTTATGGAAAAGTTTCATTTGTTAATCAGGAGACCACCAGGCTACCTTGTTATTGAAGGTTCTGACAAAAACAACACAAAATATTTTACTGAAGAAAAATCATTAGGTTGATTGTTCATCTGTGTAATGTACAACTAATAATTGGCTGTGATCATAACAGACTCTTGCATCTGCTATGAGTAGCTGTCTAAAGCCAAGACTTTGTCAGAAGCATCTGAACCCAACTTCGTGCCTGTTTTTCACACTGGAAAGCTATTTGATTTGGTGACATCTAGCAAAGAGTGATAAAAAATTCATGGTTCTCTGTAAATCCCCTGTAAATCCCCTAAAGCAAGCTTGTCCAACGCATGGCGCAGGGTGGCTTTGAATGCAACCCCACACAAACTTTCTTAAAACATTATGAGTTTTTTTTGTTTTTTTGTTTTTTAGCTCATCAGTTGTCATTAGTGTTAGTGTATTTTATGTGTGATCCAAGACAATCTTTCTTCCAGTGTGGCCCAGGGAAGCCAAAAGATTGGACACCCCTGCCTTAAAGGATTGTAGTAACAACTGACTACTTGTATTAAATGCTTTATGATTCGGTAGGGGTCCTACATGATAGTTTTCCTTTTCCTCCTCTGCCAAGCAGTTTGTTAGGACTTCACCACAATTAGAAGCTGGATAATTACAGTTGTTTTATTGGAGTTTATATAGGTAAAGCACTCATTCTACAAAGGACACAGATGATAGCTTTCTTCATATACTTGAATATATTCTAGAAAAGGAGAGTATATTTAAGTTTTGTGCCATTCCAAATGGCCAAACTTGGACCAGGGAGTTAAAGTAACAAAAATAGGTTTCAGCTTAATATGAGGGAATTGTCTAACAGCAAAGGAGCTTGTGCCAGGCTTTGTAACCTTCTCTTCACTGGGGTTATTTAAAAGAGGTCCCTATGGCCATTGGTCAGCAGTACCCTCAAATGACTTATGGGGATTGAGAGGGTCGGCAGTGGAAATAGGTTTAAGTCTTTTCTAGTCTTCTAGTACTAACATTTTGAGCGGATCAAAGCAGCCTTCTTTCCCTTACTGGAGAGGCAGTGATATGCAATGAAAAGAGCATTGGACTAAGAAAAAAAAGGCATTCCTTAGCCCCAGTTCTGTCATTTGTTTTGCTTGGCGATGTCAGGTAATTTACCTATAGCTTTAATCTATGATAACTGCGTTAGTACTATCTCTTGTCTTACTTTCCTCTCAGTATTGCTACAGGGATCATTACAAAATTTTTGTTTGTTTTTGAGACAGAATCTCGCTCTGTCACCCAGGCTGGAAGTGCAGTGGTGTGATCTTGGCTCACTGCAACCTCTGCCTCCCAGGTTCAAGCAATTCTCCTATCTCAGCCTCCCGAGTACCTGGGACTACAGGAGCACACCACCACGCATGGCTAATTTTTGTATTTTTAGTAGAGAGGGGGTTTTACCATGTTAGCCAGGCTGGTCTCCAACTCCTGACCTCAAGCGAGCCACCCACCTTGGCCTCCCAAATTGCTGGGATTACAGGCGTGAGCCACCATGCCCAGCTACAAAAAAAAAAATTTTTTTTTAATTTTTTTAAAGACGGGGTTTCACAATGTTGGTCAGGCTGGTCTTGAACTCCCGACCTCAAGTGATCCGCCCACCTTGGCCTCCAAAGTTCTTGGATTATAGGCGTGAGCCACCACGCCTAGCCCCTACAAAAATATTTTTAAGAAATAGGGATAAAAATATGAACAAAGAATAAAGCCTGTAATAATTTACATGGACCTGCAACTGAAGCTTGTGATTTGGTGAGAGAAGTGACAGGCATTAATCAAGTAATCTTAAAGGTATGTTAATATTCACAACAGTAAGAGCGATGAAAGAACAGTCTACGGAGCTCTGAGAGTAACTATAATAGCAGGAAGTCTTTTTTTTTTTTTTTTTTTTTGGAGATGGAATCTCACTCTGCCATTCAGGCTGGAGTGGAGTGGCGCGATCTCGGCTCACTGCTCCTCCACCTCCCGGGTCAAGCGATTCTCCTGCCTCAGCCTCTTGAGTACCTGGGATTACAGGCACATGCCACCACCCCCGGCTAATTTTTGTATTTTTAGTAGAGACAGGGTTTCACCATGTTGGTCAGGCTGGTCTCAAATTCCTGACCTCAGGTGATCTGCCCACCTTGGCCTCCCGAAGTGCTGGGATTACAGGTATGAGTCACTGTGCCTGGCCAGTAGCAGAAAGTCTTGATTACATTTGGAGGATTAAGGAAGGCTCCCCTGAAATCAGAAAGATGGGTAACATTAAACTAAATGGAAGAGCATGTGTGTCTATCCTTTTGAGGATGCTATTAATACTTGTTTTATATATATATAGTCAGTATTATTTTTAGTAGCATTTCCAAAGTGTATTTCTTAGAGCCCCAAGGTCATGTATCTTCTTCATAGGGCAGGAGGAAATTTCATCATGAAATCACTTTGGAAATACTGTATACTAGATCTCACTCTTAGAGGTGGGTCGTAGTATATATTGGCATAGAGCAATGTTTTGCAGTTAAAAAAATTATTTAACCAAAGCTCACTTGGCTGTGGAACTCTTTGATTTACATAATACCTATTGAACTAATTTATTGTGGAACGCACTAATTTTAGAAAACTATAGTCTTCATCTTGATATGGAGATAGAAAATGAATGTCTATGGGTATACTCTAATTTTGGAAATATAGTTTTATTAATACAAGTTGAGTATTATCTGGAATGCTTAAGACCAGAGTGTTTTGGATTTCAGATTTTTTCAGATTACGGAATATTTGCATTATATCAGTTTAGCATCTCTAATCCAAAATGTTCCAACAAATATTTCCTTTGAACATGATATATAGGTGCTGAAAAAGTTTCAGATTTCGGATGTTTTGGATTAGTGATACTCAACTTGTTATAGCTAATATTTGTGTACTGAA